AAGGAAACAGTGCGGGGCTTGTTGTGACCTGGCAGTGGAAAAGCCGGACAGTTCCCAGCCAGCAGGAGACCAGTCGGCTCTCAGGAGTAGTCGAGGTCTAGTTCTTAGCCAGTACTAGAAAAGAAAGTATTGAAGACGACAGAGAATAGTCCTCAGCTTTGCTAACAATGTGAAAGCGGGGGATGTTAACGCTGATGGCGTCTGCTCGCCCGCATTAGGATCTCCTTGGCATCATTGGTATGACTCGCTAACATGCTCTCCGTTCTTGCCCTTTTCTCTTTGGTTTCTTACTACGTGTTACCCCCGAATGTGCTGCATGTTTCTTTGGCAGACGCCAGGTACTATTTCAGCGTTCCCTTTGCTCCCCCTAAAAGCATGTTTTGCCCAGCTCCAGGCCTGCATCTCTGCTGCTTTGGGCTTGAGGACACGGCAAAAATCGTGGCATTGTAGAATCATAGAATGGTTTGAGTTGGAAGGGACCATTGAAGGTCCTCTAGTCCAACCCTGCTGCCAAAAGCAGGGACATCTTCCACCAGATCAGGTTGCTGAAACCCCCATCCAACCTGACCTTGAATGTTTCCAGGCATGGGGCATCTACCACCTCTTTGAGCAACTCATGCCAGTGTTCCAGCACTCTTGCCATCAAAACATTCTGCCTTATAGCTAGTCTGAATCTCCTCAAACGGGTCTCCCCAGAGCCTTCTCTTCTGCAGGCTGAACCATGCCAGCTCTCTCAGCCTGTCCTCAGAGCAGAGGTGCTCCAGCCCTCTTGTCATTTTTGTGGCCCTCCTCTGGACCTGCTCCAACAGGTCCCTCTCTTTCCTGAGCTGAGGGCTCCAGGGCTGGAGGTGGTACCCCAGGTGGGGTCTCAGCGGAGCTGAGTAGAGGGGCAGAAGCACCCTCCCACCCCCTGCTGGCCATGCCTCTTGTGATGCAGACCAGCATAGGGTCGGCTTCCTGGGTTGCGAGCGCACATTGCCGGCTCCTGTCCAGCTTTTCCTCCAGCAGTACCCACAAGTCCTTCTCTGAAGAGCTGTCCTCAATTGGGCGTTGCCCTAACCCACGTGCAGGGCCTTGCTCTTGGCCTTGTTGAACCTCATGGGGTTCACATAGGCCCACTCCTCAGGCTTGTCCATGTTCCTCTGAGTGGCATCCCGTTTCTCAGGTGTGTCGGCCACACTGCTCAGATTGGCATCATCTGCAAGCTTCTGAGGGTGCACTCAATCCCACTATGTCATTGATGAAGATATTAGACAATATATGTCTAATAAGGACTCCTGAGTGACACCACTCTTCTCTGATCTTCATCTGAACTTTGAGCCATTGACCACTACCCTCTGAATGCCAACATCCATACAATTCCTTACCTACCAAATATTCCATCCACCAAATCATATCTCTCCAGTTTTGATGGAAGGATGTTGCACAGGAGCGTGTCAAAGGCATTATAGAATTCCAGACAGACAACCTCCATAGCTCTTTCCTTGTCCACTGATGTTGTCAGTCCATTATAGGAGGCCAATAAGATCGGCAGGCAAGACTTGCCCTTGGTGAAGCCATGCTGGCTGTCTCAAATCACCTCCCTGTCTTCTACGTGCTTTCCCATAGCTTCTAGGAGGACCTGTTCCACGATATTCCTGGACACAGAAGCGAGGATCACAAGTCAGTAGTTCCCAGGGTCCTCCTTTCTACCCTTTTTAAAAATGGGTGCAATGTTTTTTCCTTTTTCAGTCACCAGGGAGTTCAACCGATTGCCATGACTTTTCAAATATCATGGAGAGTGACTTGGCAACTACATCAGCCAATTCCCTCTGCACTCTGGGATACATATCATTAGGTCCCATAGACTTCTGTATGTTCAGGTTCCTCAGGTGATCACAAACCTGATCTTCTTGTACAGTGGGAAGGACTTTGCTCCCCCAGTCCCTGCCTTATGGTATGTCGACTGGAGAGGTGTGGGAAGAGAGATTGCCAGTGAAGACTGAGGCAAAAAAGCTGTTGAGTACCTCAGCCTTCTCCTCATCTGTTCTCTTTGACCTTCCTTTTCTGACCTACATGCTTACAGAAGCCCTTATTTTTTGTATCCCTCATCAAGATCAGCTCCAGCTGCACCTTGGCCTTCATGACCCCATCACTACACAACCAGGCAGCATCCCTCTTAGCTGCAACTGCTCCCAAAGCAGGGAATAAAAAAAAAAAAACACCAAAAAAAAAAAAAGTTTGTGTGAGGGGCGAAGCATTGTTTGAAGTACAAAAGCTGAAGCAACCAACCTCAGACTTGTCCAAAAAAAGGAACCCAAATTCAGTGTAGCTCATTCATGCTACTGGGTTTGCCAGTTCACACATACAACCTATCTAAAAAACAGGTACTGTTATTTACATGTCTTTGCAGGATGTACAATGGTACCAGAAGTCCAAATTACCTTTGAGGGACTGGTTAGTTGCCCGATACCCATGGCTCGCTATGCACTGAACAGCTGTGTTAGGTCTCGTCTTCTTTTCTAATATGAACCAACACAGATGAAATACTGCTCCATGACAAGCAGAATTCCTGCTAACAAGTTTGAAAATGAAAAAAAAGTTCTGACCCGCAAGTCCATCTGACAAAGATATTTTTTTCTTTTTAAACTCTAGCATTCTGTTGCACTTTTAGAGCTAGACATACCAAAGCAGATGAATGCTCCACCAGCGCATTCACCTGAACACTTCTCTGCCTTTGAGAAACCTTCATCTGACACACTTTTGTCCAAAAAGTGAGACTTGCTACACTGAACTATATGAAATGTAACAATTTCCGATGTAACTTAGACTGTGCTATCTAACTGTGCCATATGTATCAGCCTGAAGGATGCAAAAATCAAACATGACTGTATACAGCAATAGTTCTATACCCAAAGGGGTTGATCTAAACTGCCAGTGAACACTGCAGAGGTTCAATCCTAACTGGTAACTCTCAAGTTAAGATGCTTGTAACAGCATCTCAACAAAAGATAATTTATATACTGAAAAACCACTGAGGCACCCTAGCTTCCAACTTTTAAGAAAACACTACAAAGAACTGAAGTGCTTCAGAATCTATATCCAGTAAGGATTTTAGTGCAACTATGACTTGACACCTGAGCTTTTCAGAATAGGTCTAACATAAGCTCAAATTAACCGATTTCCTGCTCCTCACCAAGAATTTTAAAACAGTTGAAAATGCAGTGGCTGTCCAATTTTTTGTCCACAAAATCCATTCTTGCTGTAGGCAAAATTCCCCAAAATGAAGCTACTGCAAGCCATTGCAAGTTTCATTCGCTTACCTTGATATGTTGCACATTATACAAATGCTCATTTTTCAGGAGTGTAATTCGTGCCGAGAAACTACTAGGTACCAACAAATAGCTAAGCACTTGCCTTTGCAGTATTATGTCATGTTTGCGGGTCAGCGTAACACGCTGCTCAGAACAAAAATCCCACAGTGCACAAAGACCATGTAAGATTTTGCAAAGCAAAGGCTTTCATTCC